GTTTATGGCCAAGTGCGTGTTGACGAGGACACCCACACCGCCAACGCCTCTGCTGTCGCATGTTCCAAGGAACAGTTCTTCTCCAGTATCGAAAACGGCGTGTAGCGGGCGGTGCCTTCTCGTCTCGGTCAGTCCGATGACGTCGTACTTGATCTTCCTGGCCTGCATCATCAGATCTTCGATGTGAGCTTCGGATGCAAGCGTTCTTGCGTTGAAAGTACAGATCGCCATTCTTCAGTCCATCTTCTTTCAAGCAGCCTATTCGGGCCCTGAGGATGTCTGGCAGCCTCTCCCGGCTGGTCTACATTTATTCAGTGTATAATAGCAAAAATAGTCTTCACCCATCCAAAAGCCAGAAGCAAAGAAAAAGCAGGAAAAATTATTTGGCGCGCGCAGTGACGTCAGACACCAGTGTATGGGCTCAACAATGACCGGGTGGTGTGTGTGTGGTGAAAAAATATATCTTGCCAACCACAGAGCTCTGATCCAAATTATACCTCTGTTTTTGGTAACAATGCCCATGAAAATAGAGAAAAAAGAGAGTTATAAATCTTGAAAAGCTCAAAAAACCTTCAACCATTCCGTGAACCTTGTCATGAAAGTTACACTAAGATATTCTGCAACCCACTCACCACAATGTCAGCTATAAGTAGCTGACACGGAGATCACTTGTAAAGTACATGACAGGCTTAAAGGACGAATTCACGATCAGAGGGAAAATCGAATTAGGAAGAATTCACCTGGTTGAGGGACCCGCGGAGCTCCTAAGTGTGCGAACTGAAGCACAATTTGCACAGGAGGAGTTGACCTCGTTGACCTATTAAGGTTTAATCCCGCCGCGGCTGGTCAGTGCACGCCCACCGATCATCTGATCACTCGCCGCAGGTCTATACGTGGTGAGTGATTAGATAGCTGAGAGAGCGTAGTGTTGAAGAGGGCACAGCGATGAGAGTCGCATCAATGCTCGAATCAACGGGCAAGGAAGGGGTCCCATTTCTCGGGTTCTGGGCCGTTTCTCATGGTTCTTCCTTCTTTCGTGTACCACTCACCATCCCTAGGTTAATTTCAATCCTATCGTTGTTACTTTTTCAAAAATTTTTACGACCCCCCCAAGGTGGATACGACCCCCTTTTCGACACCTCGACCACCATCATCCTCTCTATAGTATTTAATTCTGGTACCACTCAACCCACCAAACTCCGCCCACTTTTTCCTCCAAAAATGCCGTCGAGCGGGGGTATATACCCACTATGAAACAGTAAAAATTTACCAAAATTCCCTAAATTTCAACCAACCCCACTTCTACCTCCCTTCCTCACCATTGCAAGTGTAATTCGTTGGCAAGCTCGAAATGTGTTCTTTCAACATTAGCAATAAGTAAAGGGGAGATCATCATCATCCGATTTGTTTGGGTAAGCCGTGCACTTGAAGTTGCAGAATCGAGCTGTTATTTGAACATTATAACCTAAAGAACAACTTCATTTGCCCAGGCCTTTCCTTCACGGTTGTCGTTTTTGCGACAGCGTCCCTAACAACAGTGTCATTCTCAACGAGGTATTAAGGGAGAGGGAGCGGGCGGTAGATAGAGGAGGTGCCTTGCAGCGCGTGTGCACATGTGACCCTGTTCCTTGCAAAGATGCACTTTCATTCTTTGTACTACTTTCAAATACTTCCTTCTCGAAGGTAGAGGAGATGGAGCGACTGAACCTGCAAAGAATATTTTATATCATTTTTCACATATCCTTGTTTTCTGCTGCGCTACACCCTCTCCCTCCTATCTGCACCACGATGCCACTGATGTTACTGACCCCACGAGTACGACCCCCCATGACCCAGCCTGACAATACGACCCCCTGTCGAGGATTTCCTCGACCGATATTCACCCTTGATTTCAGGTGTCTTGTAGGGGTGGGACAGGAACAAATTAGGTGTGTGACAAAATGATAACCATTGATAAGTCACGTTAGAATACATTTTCAAGAAAATCGCAGCGCGCGTGGCCCAGCAGCAGTGAAGCGTTGTCCTTGGTGTTGTAGAGGGAGATACGAGATTATATATGGTGGGTGACAAAAGTGATAACGATGATAAGGATGATAAGAGCGTTCAGCTCGAAAACGTTAGGGGTCACCAAAGTTGTTAGTTAAATTACGCGATTAGGGACAACGTTTCTTCCGTCTACGATGTCATCGTCAGCACCGAAATCCATTCGGCCGCCAACTTGCCTGAGCTTAGTGTGATTGTTGTTTGTGAAAACACACAAGCATTAGTGTTTCTATCCCAGCATCATTGGCATAGGAAGTTACTCAACCGCTCAACTTTCTCAAGATCCGAAGCCAAATGTTTAAGCTGAGGGGCTAATAGCAAGCAATAGAAGGAATCGCATTAGTCACCCAAAGCATATTCGGCCGCAAGATCACGTTAACTTCCCAAAAATATTAGATGTTCATGGGGGTACAGTGAGTGATTGTTTTATCACCAGCACTGTAGTAATCTTTCGTTAACAGCAGCAGCCAGATCCATTAGAAGCATGCATGCTATGTAAGAACCTGACACTCCGTCTACTTCCGCATGTGCGCGGTGGCGAGGGGAGCCAAACTGGTTATCTATAAATCGAATGATTTCATACGGACGAGAAGTTTCACATCGTTCTTACTTATATTCCAAATGAATCTATTTTTCGTTATTTGCAATACAGTTAACTTAAAAAATGCGTATTATCTGAAAGTGTCATGCTAGAAAAGCTCTATGTATGAGCTCGCATAACATTTGGTGGTCCTTGAGGACACCCTGCTGTTCTGAAGGCAGATACCTAGGTGCGAACATCTGAAAGAGGCATTCAGTCATATTTGTCATTTCGTTGTACCAATCAACACAGTGTGGTTTCCTGGGAAGTGTGATCAAAATGATATCTTCAGTGGTGCAAGCATGTCGACGATGTGTGCAGAAGGTGAACTTGGCGAACGAAGAAATTCTCTTAGAAATCGAGGATCTTCGAGAGTCGCTGCGAGCTGCTCATAAACTCATATTGCGTAACAAGAAGGGGAACGATCCTGATTCCAATAGTTCTACCCCAGATGTATCGATCTGTCAGTAGAATTTTGCCTAGCCACGTCTACTTCCACTTTTGGTGAAAGAACTCGAAGATTTGTCTCAATCAATCGTGTTGAGTATACGAGATGGTTTTGAGATGAGCTACCATCAGTTACAATTAACTATTGTGTATATATTGGTCTCGGTGCAAATTCTTTCCAACGAGCATAAAATGGATGCTTCTGAAGTAAGCTTGGTTCTTGCAATAGGTTACAATACAACTCTTCATATTTTCACATGCTAATTTTTGTAGTTCCCCAATGAGATGATATCATTTGGAAATCGTAGAATCCTTTTATTTTATAAAGCGCTAACTTTGTGTGTCGGTTTGTATGTCTGTATGTGTGTGT